GAATGAAAACCCAAAATCTCTGTAAATGTTCATTAAAATTAATAAAATTTAATAATAATAAAAAAAGAATGAGATTCTGGAAAACTTAAAAAAATAATCTGTTTACTTGGTAGAAAACACTCTAAGAAGTAAATTCATTTGAGGAGTGAAAAGATAAAAAATTCTGGACCTGAAATGCTCAGGGAACACCTTAGAAAGATCAAGAGGCAGTTAGAAACACAGGCTTGGAGGCCAGTAATTTAAATACAAATAACCCAAAAAACCAAATCCTCTGTCTTAGAGTCAATTCTAACTCATAGTGATTAATGGTTTCTGAGGCTGTCGATCTTTCCAGGGGCAGACTGCCTCACCTTTCTCCTGCAGATGAGCTGGTGACTTCTGTCAACCTTTTGGCTGGCAGGCCAACACTTCACCTACTACACCATCAGGATTCCTTACAATAGAATGGTGATGCTGTCATGTGCTGTCAAATAGGAACCAACTCAAGGGGAGCTGACCCTCCAGCAGATTTCCAGAGGCTGTAATTCAAATGGCAGGAGACTGCCTATCTTATCTTTCTCCCCAGCAGCAGCTGGTGATTTACGCTGCCTGCCTTTGGGTTGGCAGTGCAACTCCTTACTCATTAGGTCATCAGAGTGCCTGAAAAACATGCACAGTGAACCAAAATCATGGAGAGTAAAAAATACAAGCACCTGGTTCAAAGGGCTTTGGAATAAGTTAAAAAACTTTTCCTTGTAAGCAGTTTTCTAAGACAAATGGATTCTTTCCTTACCAGGCTTGACTATCTCAAGCCAGGGAGAAAGTTCTAATATCAGTCATTCCTCTCAGCTATCTTTCCTAGTCTCCCTTCCTTATCCATGCTTTGTTCTCCTCCATACCATTCCTTCCTAATAATGGTATACAACACCATCATTAGATAAGCAAAGTGAATAAGCTATAATAACTATATGATGCTTATTGCCTAAAAGTCAATTAATAGCAAGTTAAGTTGAAAAGACAAAGCAAAAATGAAATTTCTCATCTCAGAGCTTACAAAGGGCCTTAAAGAACAAACACAGGCTGGGGAGAATGGCAAGTAGTAATTGCTTTTGTAGGAATATCATTGGGATGAGCAGCAGTGCCGTCTAGTAACGGCCAATACAATGGCAGCTAACGTGATAACAATGTCAGAGCAGGTTGTTGATGTCAAGAGCGGGGTCAAATACAAATGATTACTTAAGTACATTGAAGACAGTAATAATCAAGTTTTTCACACAAAGAAGCAAGTTTTTTTTATATTAGATTAAACACAGCTATCAAAAGGAAGAAGTTGGTATTAAAGATTAAAGTATAACAGCATAAAATGAAAAAAAATGCTTTTTAGTAGTATTTACTAAACAACAACAAAAGAAACAGCTTCTGGTAACTATACTCAACCCTATTACATTTACTTAGCAAAACCAGAGTTAACAATACTTCCATACATCAACCCAAACACTATGAGTCACAGGCAGCTATGTACAGTATACTCCTAGAAAAAGACACATTAAGCTTTACATTTGTTTTACACATTCTGTGACAAAACCAGTATATTCTGTATCGGCTTTTGA